CAGCAGAGGTGGATTTAGGGGAGCATGGCAGGTTCGGTTGCACCTGGAACAGAGCCTCGGGTGCGCCCCAGGAGATGACACAACTGTAAATTGGAATGTAGTGTGAGAGGCGGGGAACACTGAATTTCTGTGTTGCACAGGGCACCATTGAAATTTGAGACCCCAAGGTCCGCCACTGCCCACAGTGTGCAATGCCACTAAAACTTGGGGTGACAGACTTTGAAATATTGCCCCCACCATGTGGAATGCCACTGTGAGTGAAAGCTTTTTTTGGGTGGCCCCATTTGGGATAGATAACATTTAAATTGGTCCTCAGCTAATGATAGAGACTGGCTGCTGCCAGGTAAAAGGCAATGTGAGGAACAGCTGTTTTCAGGTAACAGGCCAATCTGTAGTGTATTTTGATGCAAATCCAGGAATGGAATTACTACTTCTGTCAATGTAGTGCAGAAGGCACTGCTAGGCAGGGGTTCAGATATTACATCAGGGCAAGAACTTGCTCTTCATGCTAACACAGCAGAGAGATGCTGGATGGATCTTCAGCATGTTATGCTTTAGGTAAGGTGTCGACCTGATTATAGGGGGGAAAGAACATGCACCTACAGGAGAGAACATAGATTGGGATTGAAACCAGTTCTTGTATAAGTGAAAGGCCCTTGCACTGATGCAAGGCAGTCCCCTGGTTTCTGCCCTCTTCCACAGTGCCCATGTCACTGCAGAGGGTCCCTGGTGGTCCTGAGAAGTTTTGAAGGATCACAAGGAGGTGTTGTTGTTGTTGTTTAGTCGTTTAGTCGTGTCCGACTCTTTGTGACCCCATGGACCAGAGCACACCAGGCACTTCTGTCTTCCACTGCCTCCCACAGTTTGGTCAAACTCATGCTGGTAGCTTCGAGAACACTATCCAACCTTCTAGTCCTCTGTTGTCCCCTTCTCCTTGTGCCCAACATCAGGGTCTTTTCCAGGGAGTCTTCTCTTCTCATGAGGTGGCCAAAGTATTGGAGCCTCAGCTTCACAATCTGTCCTTCCAGTGAGCACTCAGGGCTGATTTCCTTCAGAATGGATAGGTTTGATCTTCTTGCAGTCCTTGGGAGTCTCAAGAGTCTCCTCCAGCACCATAATTCAAAGGCATCAATTCTTCGGCAACCAGCCTTCTTTATGGTCCAGCTCTCACTTCCATACATCACTACTGGGAAAACCATAGCTTTAACTATACAGACCTTTGTCGGCAAGGTGATGTCTCTGCTTTTTAAGATGCTGTCTAGGTTTGTCATTGCTTTCCTCCCAAGAAGCAGGCGTCTTTTAATTTCGTGGCTGCTGTCATCATCTGCAGTGATCATGGAGCCCAAGAAAGTAAAATCTCTCACTGCCTCCATTTCTTCCCCTTCTATTTGCCAGGAGGTGATGGGCCCAGTGGCCATGATGTTCATTTTTTTGATGTTGAGCTTCAGACCATATTTTAGGGAAGCCCTATTGTACAAGTGGAATTCTGCTCAGGCTTCTTTGCCTCCAAGCTTATGCACCCACCCAAAACTTTTCTTGTTGTTTTTGCTTTAGAGATTTCTATTGCCGAAAAGGCAAGTGGTTTCTCAGTTTTAAAAACAGCTTGTCTCTTCGGCGAAAGGCATCATTGTGGTCAAAACAGCAAGCAAAGCTCTTATTTTTGTGTGCGTGGCTTTGTCTCTCCTGTGCATGTATCACTCCTTGCAATCCTGAGGATCCCCATGCCATGCCATGTTGTGAAATAGCAAGTCAAGAAGCACTTTGAAGCCTTTGATTTCTGGTGTCTTGTGGTTCTTATTAACCACCTATCACTGACTAATGCTGCTGGACACAACCACCACTAGGATACAAAAAAGATAAAATCTCTTTCTCTCCTCTTGTCCATTATTTATGGTAGCCTGCTGTATTACAAACAGCAACCAACAAAGCATCATCATGATTAAAGTTCTGCCGTTCAGTCGTTCCCCCTCCTGCCTCCATCAACGCAGAGTTTTGCAGCTGCTTTTAGTAACAAAGTTTGGATTTTCGTAAATTAAACATGTTGCTTAGCATGTCTCGCTCACTTATTGGGGAGTTTTTTTGAGCAAGCCACACACACACACACACACACACACACCTGGAATGTTTTCATCAAAGCCAGTGGAAGATCTAGGAAGAAACACATAATGCCATCACAACCAACATGTGCAGTTAAAAATGTGAGCCTCACAAGGCTATGCATATATATATATATATATATATATATATATGCAGGTTTTGGTGTTCTCGGGTGTCTTCCCGTGTAAAAGTTGGGGTGTCTAGGCGACGTTTCGACGAGGCCTAGACACCCCAACTTTTACACGGGAAGACACCCGAGAACACCAAAACCTGCATTCCTGTACCCGTGAAAATCTACGAAAGCATATATATATATATATATATATACACACACAGAACTGCAAGAAGCTCACCCACTCCCCATTTTATGCTCCCTCCTAGGAAAGATTTCATAGCCCAGCTGTACATTAGAGGTATCATAGCTAGGTCATAAATTATTCATGCTTTACGCATGTACTGAAATGCATCCTTATGTTATTTACTATCTGCACAACGAGCTGCTTTTTTTTAAAAAAAAAAATTGTCATGTCATGTTCTTCGACTTTTCTTGAATTCCTTCTTAAGCGAGCCGTTTCAGATGATCGCAATCACTGCATTCCCCCCCCCCCCACTAAAATTATAACCCTTAGGATGCTTTCTGAGGGGAAAGTAGTCAGAAGTAAAATTTCAACGTGTGTGTACACCCACCCTCACACAAACACAATATCTTATTTGTCAGTCTATCTATTTACTCTGCATTAAAAAAAAAGTGCTCAGAACTCTTTCTTCTTGCATCCTGCTGGCGTGCTCTTCCTTGATATCCTGACCATTTTTGAACCCTTGAACTCTGACGGAGAGGAGGGACTTGGGAAGGTTGTCATCTGATCTATGTAAGAAGGCAAAAGGAATAGCTTTCTCTTTAATAGCACTCTTTCTGCTTAACAGTTGGTGGGAGATTAAAATGATCTAGGTGGATAAGACAGGTTAAAGGTCAAGGGACACCACCATTTTTTCTCTCCCCTTCATGTCAAAATAGAGACAGGTCGTTAGACATTAGAAATTGTATGCTCTCTCCCCTCCCCTCCCAATATTTCAATCTATTTATGCACTAATTTTATTGTAAACTCCAATTCTTCAGGGGAACTGGACCCCTACCAAGCTACTGCCCGGCCTGGATAGTTGTCAGGTGCTGACATTCTGAGTTTCAACCATATTAATTGCTGGATAAAGGCTATAATCCCATCCCTTTGAAGCCCAGGGTTGATTTTAGGCAGTACTTCAAAAGCAGCACAAAACTGAAAGAGACATATTTCCGACCAGCACTGAATCAATATGATGTACCCTCTTTGCATTTGTCTACATACGCTGTACATATTTGGCTGCACATGCACACAGGGTGTGATTTGACTATAAAACACGTCAAAATGGGAGGTTTTATTATCCACAATATTCTACACAAGATAAGATGTACTGCTGCTGAATTTTGCCGTGGAAATCTCTCCTATTGTTTAAGATATCCTATCATGCTTTGATTACGAAGGAAAAATATCAATGTATGTAATTTGGCTTGTTTCCAGCTCTACAGCTGTAATAAAACTGCAATCTAAAGTGGGGATGAATGAGTGCATTTTGAAACAAAGCAGTTTTGCAAGACCAGCCCCGATACTGCAAATTATTGCAGAATTTTAATTTTAAAATGCCTCCGATCAAGTACTTTGTATGCGGCGACTAATATCCCATGATGAATTAAATCTATTGTTTCACATGGTTGCAAAGAACCTCGACCCCACCCCACTTGCTACAAAGGAACAAAATAATAATAATAATAATATCCAGAACAATGCTCGGAAGTGCAAAGAATTGTGTAGCTAATATGGAACTCTTGATTGGCATGTATTTCACTTAACGGCTCTCGATTCTGCAGGCCTGCACTATATGAAAACTCTCTCTTACAGGATTTGCCAAGTATACTTAGTGTTATGTTTGAGAAAGATTAACAGTATTTCAGATCAAAGGCGAATCCTGCCGCATACTCTTAGGAGATTGTCATTCACTTCCATTATGGCTCATTTGCACAAGATTTTCCTGTAATATGAGCCATTGTTTTGATGGCAGTGATTTGACATCAAGACAGGGCCAAATGCATCTCAGCATCCAAGTCAGTCAAGCTCTGGGTGACTTGGTCCAAAAGGACTTGATAATCATAAAATGCAACTGTTACTCTGTAAGGTTTAAGCCTCTTTTTCAGATTCTTTAAAAAAAACACCAAACTTTTGAATGAATCTTGGCCTGAACAAAAGCAAACAATGAGTATTATCTATTCTTGATAAATATATTTAAAACCACAGCTTGTCTTGAACTAAAATAAAAGGGCAGTTGTGGTGGCAGTGGTGGGGGAAATAACAGCACATTCTTTTTAATGCCCATTTTCTTATTTGAGAAGTAGCCAATTTATTTTAAAGTGTTCTTTGAAATGAGCACATCCCTTCACTCTAAAATTTAGTAGTCTAAATAAAACACACTCTTTTCAACATTTACCTTTTCATTTCCGAATCCAACATGGATCCAAGATGATGCATATAGAATTCACACAGAATCCGTTGAAATCAATAGATGTAGTAGAATAGTGAAAGAAACTGTAGTGTATGCCAAAGCAAAATAAACAAATTCCTTCCAGTATCACCTTAGGACCAACTAAGTTTGTCACTGGTGTGAGCTTTCGTGTGTATGCACACCAGTTCATCTTCATTTGTAAGCAAATGAAAATGATGATATGGGCAAACCATAATTAAATCCTCTACAAATTTCAAGTTTCATTTCAACAAGTACACTGAGACGGAGAGGTGACTTTTTGTGCCTGCAAGAGTTAGAAGACCTAATTCAATACCCTAGACCTGCTTTTGTATTGCCTGTTTAAGAAATACTTCACTTCAGAAAAGGACTGTAGATGCCCCCCCTCTTTTTCAGCTAAGCAACTTTCTTACACTTCTGACACAGAGTTGAAACTTGGCATTTTGGAATTAACTGAGCTGCTTTTCCATTTCTCCCTCTTCATCCTCAGAGATACAAGTCACAATCCAACACAGACTTACAGCACATTCCTGTGTCTCTGTACTCAGAAGTAAGTCCCATGCGTTTACTCCCGGGTAAGTATGAAGATCATGCTTTAAGCATCTTTCCACCCATCGTTTTCAGTGAACAAGTGTGTTTGCTTGTGGCCATGGCAGAGAAAGGGTGAAAAATGTATGAAAATGTTGTAGCTGTGGTGGTAGTTTATGTTAAAAGGAATGTGGCATTAATGACTTGATTCTTCAAGAGCACCTACTCTCGAGACAAATTTTTAAAGCTAATGGAAGCTGAGGAACAAGGAAGTTTGTTCGACTGAGGTGTTTTATTCTGAAAAGAAGTTAGAAAAAGCGTGTTCCAAAATAATATTCTATACTTAAAAAAACCAACAAAATAAAAGTGCCATACCAAAGACACTCAGGGAGAAAATATCACATTGAATTAATTTTGCATTGTCTACTTGGAAGTAAGTCCTATTAAGTTCAATGTAACTTACTTTCAGGCAAGTATGTAAGTACTGCAGCCTAAAAGTTGCTTTTATTGAAGTTCTTAACTTTGCATTTGGTACGTTGCCAGCCTTTGTAAATAAACTGCACTGTTATGCATTTTAAAAAATATATATATCAGGAGTTTATTTATAAGGCAGGCTATGTAGGGTATGGAATGCCTGAAAATTATCCATGGTGATATAACCTTACATACTGTTCTCTGCTGGTAAGGTGTGTTGAACACCAAATGCTAAGATTTTACACTGCATGCTTGTGTGTGTATGTGTTTGTAGGATTGTGTATCAGCTTTAGAATAACTGGAATTGCTTTTTCACTTTTAAAAAGTATGGCTTTTTTCTGCTTAAACTGTCAAAAATGAAACTATTTCCTCTGCAACTTTTGGAATACCAAGAAGTAGGCGCTGAGGTATCAATCTCTGCCAAGTGAGTTTTATATGGAAACATTGACATTTAACTTTGACAGTGATTGTATTCAAATAATAGAGAATATAAAATGTTCTTGTTCCCCATGTATGGGAAACTTTTGAAATGTAAACATCAAGCTATTAAACAAATGTGAGGTTTTTTCTCTCCCCCCCCCCCCCCCGCAAATGTGGAAACAGTTACAAAATACATGAGCAATAGCGCCCTCTACATTTCAAAAAAACCCAGAAAATGTACAGCTTCCAGAAAAGTATATTTAAAAACCAGTTCTGTCAATTGCTGCTTTTATCTTGGGTCTGTGAGATGGTAAAATATAAATTTAAGAGGTGTGTAGAATTATCAAAGTACACATCAGTTTTGCTTGGCTTTATTTACAGTTTTAACAAATGCACCTACTTCTTAAAAAAGACAGAAACATCAAGTCTCTCAGTATCATATCTAAGGTTTACAATGAAACTTTTTTGTGATTGATTATTTATGCAAAGTAACATGTTCTGTTCTGCTTTGAGAATCCAGTGTATTATTAATGTAACTGATTATTTATTAAAAGTCTCTCATTTTTATCTATCAGCAGTTAGATACATAGTTGTTCTAGGCCTTAGCAACATTAAAACCATAAGCTTTAACACACATACAAACACACCCAGATTCCTTTGATGCTGAAGATGTCTGTGTTTTTGCAAGCTGTAAAATGAAATCCAGAAAAGATGTGAAAAATGTTGAAAAAGTTATTATTTCCAAATACATTTTATGATGGATTCTTAAGACTGAATTATTGCACAATTCTTATTTATAAATTTTCAGATTTAGCAAAGGGTAGGAAACTATTTTGCCATGCAGTTTACCTAATATAGGCAACAAAAAGGACTATAATACTGCATTTTCTTCCTACACATGTCATAAAATGAGGCAAATTATTAAAATGAGGTAGATTCTCCAATACTAATTGCAAAAACACAGACACACACACACACACACACACACACACACACATGTGAATATGCAGATCTCATAATAGTGGAAATCAGTGTTTTATTAACTTGAAATAAAAATATCTAGGGAAATATTTGACATTTGACTTATATGCTTAAAAGTGATCCCTATGATTTTCAACAGAATGTATTACCATATCAGAGGCTTAAAATGAAGGATGGTGATTACTAAAGAACAGTACATTATAGAATTGGGAAAATATACATGCCATGCTTTTCATATCACTTAATTAAATTTTGTGTAAACACAGACTATTAAAGTGCTAATACTATAGAATTTTCTTGAACACTACAGTGAATTTCTGTATATTCCATGAAAAAATATTTTTGTTTACAGCGTACCTAATTAAAAGTACTTGCTGGACACAAGTGAAAAACTTTTTTAAATGTTCTCAAACTTTTTTCTTGTGCAAGTACACAGTTGCTTAGGAAGTATACTTCCCTGTAGCAAAACGTACACTTTTAATTTGCAAAGAAAACCATCCCCTTTTCTTTGGAAAAGAGGGAATCTTAAAAAAGAAAAGTGTGTGTGTGTCAGTGGAGGTTACAGACTATATGTATTAAAGGTGCTTTAGCAGGGATTAAGGCAAAATACTTATTGCAATTGTTCTCTGTTGCATTTCTACTTTTGAGACATTTGGCTTGCTATTCTGAAAATGCTATTCCTGGTACCAAATTTACAAAAAAAGAGTAGAAGAAGAAAAAAATAAACATACAGTGGCTCTTAGCAGTTCTCTGCTCACGTCAAGAGCAAATTAAAACAGTGAAAGAATGGTGCAAATAATTGTTTCATATGTTCTCTTTACTTGTGACTTCTATAATCATCCTGGCTGATTTACAAATGTAGACTTCAAGGTTGTTCAGCTTCCTGCAGAGTAGAAGACTGCTACTTTGGCACTCGTGCTCATGCCCTTGTAATCACCACTCAGAAACTGTGCCTTGGTACTTCCAATTCCCAGTCTCTTGATTGAACACCTCATTCTGTGCTAACAAGGTGTCCAAGGTATTTGAACAGGGTCTTCAGTCAGGGGGGAAAATTGCTAATGGTGTCACTCATTAACAATTCCTGCACCAGTTTTTGGTAATCTGGTAACGGTCTCAATTACAAGCTGATTCCTCCCTTCTCTGTTTTTCAAGTTCAGATACGATGGGATGGTGGGGAGGGTTGGAATTCTGGAGTTGTGAGAGGTATGGAAAAATTAGGTGGGGAGATGTATAGCTAAAACTGAAGTTAGAACACCCTCATGGATTGGTGGACCATGTAAACATGGTGTAGCTGGGGTTTGCTGTAACAGATATTTGTATTGTTTCCAGTGATAATCACGAGGCTGTAATGGATATAAGATTATTGCAAAAGAATACAAAAGAGTTAAAAGACACACACACACACACATTTTGAAGGCTAATGCTTGAAGTTCTGATGCAGAAAGAAACTTTCAAGAAGGGCAAAACAAACTGCCTGTGACATGTGGTGGTTTTTACATAAAGTATTTTAAAATAAATGAATTTCAAGGAAAACGTAATAAAAGGCCATGAAGGGCACTGTTTTTATCTTGCATTGCCCAGGATATAAATCATACATAGATTTACTGGCAGCAACAAGATTTCATTGGTGTGTACACAAAAGAGTATAATATACTAAAGGAATCTTAATAGTCCCTCAGAAACATAAATGGAGAGGAATATCTGTTCTATTCAGCCAAGGCTTGAAGCAGCTTTCCTTTATGAACTTGACTTGTTGAGTTTAAAGGTTTTTTCAAAGAATGCAGTTTCAAACTCGCTGTTCTGCTTCTATGCTGAACATGCAAGTAGGTTGACTTGAATAGATATATGAATTCGTGTACGAGTGGCCATATAAAAATCTAACTTTTGGGAAGTCAGTTATCAATAAAGGGTTTATAGCCAAGATAATTCTACTCTTTCAGGAATGCAGTCAAAGTATAAGTTCAATTTCTTCCCCATATGAGAGTTTCAGCTTGGAGGGTTTGGGCTCGTATGATACATTAATTTCAAGGAGTATATACCCTCCTAAAACTGAAAAACAAACAAACAAACCCAGCACTCTGTCATTTTCATCCATTATTCCCCAGCTTTCTAATCCTAACATACTATTTTGCATGAATGTTAGTCCTGTAATAAAAGTGTAAAGTGTTTAGGACTGGGTTTGTGAAACTTTTAAATAATCATCAAGAAACTGAGCCAATCTAATTTGGCACTGAATACTTTCAAGTACAGTAGTACCTTGTTCCTGAGGTGTTGTGTTAATGATGATCTGAACCTGTTTTTAACCTGCTTTTTCTCTTTCCAGTCATTCTGCAAATCACCCACAAAACTGAAAGACAACAAATCCCTAAAACAGATAAAAAAAGGGACAGGAGAGTAAAAAATGAAAGTCCTAAAGATTGGGTTTTCAGATAATTTCAGTGGCAAAAAGTATGATTGAATTGGTTAGTATTTGGTAAGTGCAGAAACAGTAACTTGTTGACTTTTGCATATTAATTTTAATCATCACATTTTTAAAAAAGTGGACAGTGCTATTCCGTCATTAGCAGTCTTTCATAAATTTATGTCAATGGACAGAAGATGAACAAATGAGAATCTCCTATTTTTTGGCATGTTTAATCATCAAATTAACATGAAGGGCAGCTAAAATCAGAATTATATTAATTTTTGTATTCTTGATTTTTGTATGTTTGTAGAAATTCCCAAAAGAACTGTGTTACTTATATATTTTTAATGTTCTTTTTTTTTTTTGCTTGTGATAAATTCACAGTGCATCTGTCAGATGCTACACTGATAGTTAAGCATCCCAAAAGTACCCATTTGCATCTTGTGGATTCATATGTTTTATAAAAGGAAACTGATGTTGTGATGACACTTAATAACTTGCATAGCAATCTTCTCTTGCATTTCCAGTTTGGCTCACGGCATATATGTCAGTATAAATTTATAGGAACACCAAACTTTTGAAATTTATTGTTTGGTTTAGAACTAAAATAGACTTTTTTTAAAAAAAAGGTTCTGCAGGGGATTCAAAGTTGGCTAAAACCATTATGAGATAATTACAAAAATCTGACATGTTTTCTACTTGAACTTGCTCCATAGAATAGTCGGATTGTTTTTAATGCTCCCTCCTCTGCCCCTTTTGTGTAAACCTAAAATCCTAAGCATGCTGTATGTGAAAATAAATGCTAAACCAATAAACCCCTTTTCAAACAGGTGTGTTTAGGAATGAGTATATGGGTTGCGGTGAGGATGAAAATAATACATATCATTGCTATGTGTGATGCCTGCTCAGAACTTCTTAAATCAGTTCTGACCTCATCTACGCACAATACAATAATAAATTTTACTCTTCCTAACAGAAATAAACCAAACAGCAGTTCATGCAGCTACAACAATTTTATTAAATAATCTGAACAAATTTTGTTACAGTTCTCTGTGGAAGACTTTCAGCCAGTCAGCCCAAAACAGTAGAAGATCCGTATATGATTTCAACATTTTATCACTCTATTCAAAGTATACTATTTCCCAAGGAAACCTGATGACCTTTTCCCAAAGCCACAAATATATTGAAAATCATAATTTGCATCAATCCTGTACGTAACTAGGCAGTTTTCTATCCCCACTGATAGCAATGGGAGTTAATCAGCTGAGTGCTCTGCAGGATTGCAGTTTTAAGTGTGTAAAATACAAAGAGAGAAGCCAGTTTTCCAAAAGCACAACCGCTGTACTTCCAGTAATGTATATTATGGCCTGGATCCAAAGAATCACATGACTCCTTCCACACCACCAAGGGAGTTTTGGAATTGTGTTTATCTTCCGCATGGCAAACCTGTTTGGAAACTGCAGGGAGTTTCATACGAAGGTTCTGATTTGGCCCGGGGCAGAGGAAAGTGCCTGCCATTCAAAGGTGGGGGTGAGGAGAGCCAAATATGCCCCTGCCGGACATGCTTCAACACTTGAGCACAACCAGCAGGGACAGACCTATGATGAGCCAGGAGTTGAATCAGGAGGGGCGGTGGTTTGTGTGTCCCTCCATCTGCCTCCTGCAGGGCTCACTGGCCATTGTTATTGCTGGTGGTTACCATGGATGCAACTGGATAACTGGACAATACTCCCTATTGGTCCATAAAACGGCCTTCAGAATGCCCACACCATCCCACACTGAGGAAGGGGTCTTTCCTCAGATGCAGTGGAGCTGTTGCAACAATAGAGTTGTATGTTCCCTATAACCAGCCCTGGTCAGCAAACCGGCTGCAGCTTTTTGAGCCAGTTGATGTTTCTGAGCACTTTTTGAAGGCAACCCCAGTAGAACATGTTGTATCCAAACGGGTTGTACCAAAGGTTGTGTGTCGCTGTGGCCAAATCAGGCATCTCAAGGAATGGGCACAACTGGCACACTAGTTTAACTTTGCCGTTCCCAAATGCAGACTGGACTTCCTCCAGAACAACTGCCCAACAGCTACCACCTCATCCACAGCCCTGTCACTCACACTGGCTGGCTAGGATGGAAGGCCTGGAGAGAGGAGACAATCCTCTGTTCCATGCTGTGCCAGCCTAGAGCTGTCAGAGTGACTGGACCCAGGTCTGGCCTAGTGCCATCAAGCGATGGGAGTGAGATCAGCTCAGGATCTAGTGGATATTGGGCCAGTTCAGCCACTCACTGGAATGCATATTTAGGAGGCTTTCTATGGGCTAGCACTGGTGGGAATCTTGCCAGTGGTTGTCCCATCCACCTTCACTTTTGGCAGGAGGAAAGAGGAGAGGATTTGTGTGCTGGAGAAGTGGACTATTTTGGGCTGAGCAGAGGGAGACCTCCACCCCATCCAATATAGGCGGGATACAAATAATAACATTATTATTATTGCGTTACCAGGCCGCGACAGCCCCAGCCCCCAGGGATCATAAGGAAGGAATAAAGACTCTGACAACGTGTTATGGAATTAAAATTAATCCACAACTTTATTTAACTTCTGAATGTAAGAAGACCTTGGCTTTGGCCTTGGGCGTGTATCCCTCCCAGCCCCCCAGCTGGGGGAACTGGGGCACATCAGGGTAAAGGGGATATGGGGGTGCACTGCGAGATGTATGTGTACGCAGGCAGCCCAGCCCATATCCCCGCACACAGGGTAGTTCACCTTTCAGTTTATGGCCAGTGACACCCATTATATAACCCCTTTTAAGAGGGAAGAAGAAGAAGAGTTTGGATTTGATATCCCGCCTTTCACTCCCTTTAAGGAGTCTCAAAGCGGCTAACATTCTCCTTTCCCTTCCTCCCCCACAACAAACACTCTGTGAGGTGAGTGGGGCTGAGAGACTTCAGAGAAGTGTGACTGGCCCAAGGTCACCCAGCAGCTGCATGTGGAGGAGCGAGGAAGCGAACCCGGTTCACCAGATTACGAGTCCACCGCTCTTAACCACTACACCACACTGGCACTACGCCACATTGGGGACCCTGGAATCACTGCCGCAGGGGGGTGAGTCACCATTTCACACACACACACACCCCATTATAGGAAATAAAAGAATAAAGGATTCCACCCAAGGCCATAAACTGCCAAAGTTGTGACAAATTGCTACAGGGAAGAAAAAACCTGCCAATGCAGGAAAATTTCTTCCCTGTCCTTCAACAGCAACCAGTCAAAGACTGTAGCAGAACCCGCTAAACAGGAAGAAAAAGTTAACCTGCAAACAAGAAAACATTAAATTGAGGGAGGGTGAATCTCCTGAGCCAACTGCCTGGCTACTGTCAGCTGAACCCGCTATATATAATGGGACTGGTCCCACCTCCCAGCAATGAAACTTGACTACTGAGGCTGGGCATGAACCTCCAATAATAACACTGAGAGGCAGGCCAGCCCCTGTTTGCCAGTAAGTTCCCTGGGAACTGTAGCACCACGTACAATCCCGCAAAGGGCATCCACAATGTAAAGTGTGAGTGCTCATTATATGCAAAAATAAAAAATAAACCATGTAGGTGAGAAGGAAAGGATATAAATTATGTGAATGGAATATATAGTGATCTAATCATTTTAATAGAGAAGAATGGGCCATATCAGCCTTGAATTCCTGTGAAGAACTTTCATAACACCCAAAATATCAACACTTTTTTTTTGTAATTTAAAGCCTGACCCCTAAAACACTCCTTCAACAGCACTGAAGTTACCAAAACTGAAGAAGCTCTTTAAAATTTGTAGCCCAAGATTCATGTAAGACTAGTAAAATAAAGGGTTAAACCTTTTAAATATGTAACTACTAAATTAATGGAGCATACTAATCCATTCTGAGATCTAATGAAATACACCACAATTTAAATTGCAATTAAACAGAGAAATGTCAATGGGCATGGGGTTCTCTACAAAGTTGGGTGGGGGGGGGATAATTCTTTCTACGAACTAGTAGCTGTTTCATGTAAAAGAAACTCTGAGTAATCTTCCAAATATTTGCAGCAAATATTATCCATTCAACACTTGAGAAAAGTTTGCATAGCTAATTTTATATCTTCAGTAAAAATCCGAAAATGCAATTTGAGTCTGGGAAATGGTACAGTCACATGAGACCAAAAAAAGCCCTTCCATCTACTCTGACTAATTTCATTATTATTTACTAGCCTGACCAGTTTCATTATGAAGTTACCTTCGCTATTACATCCATTACCCTTGATGAGCCAGCTACATGGAAATACTTGTTGCAGAATGTAAGGAAAACAGAATCTCCAATTGTTTGATTTTTGAACTTACCTGTTTTCATTCCCATTATTGCATGTTGCACTATTACATTTTGACTGATTTGGAATAGGAAATGTCTATGAAAATCCATAATACCCATAGACTTGCCCAAGCACTGGATGGCAATTAATAACAACTTATCCTGATTTAGGTGCACTGGTTGTTTCAGTCCCTGTATCCTCATCACCTGTACTCATGACAATCATCTCTATAAAATATTGCTTTCAAAGGGTACAGTTTGTTTTGTACCAGTCAAGCAGCCTGAATGAAAGTCATAACCATTAAATCAACATGTTCCCCATTTTTATTTGACTTCAGTATACCCCTAGTTTGCTAGTTGTCTTTCATGCAGTGTGGGCACTATCCAAATATATACTTTATGTGAGTCCAAGGATGTCTACCCAGTGGTACTGTACACCATTACTTTGAAACCCACCCATGCATCTAAATGGGCCACCCATGTTGTCTCACGTCTGAGCAGTTGCTGGGCTATTGCAAATAAAGTCTTACCATAAGTACTGAATTAGTTGCAAATGTTCCTGCATTGCATGGGATTGGACTAGATGCCCATTGGGTCCCTTTCCAACTGCACAATTGTATGATTCTATGTCTGGATGACAGCCCTTGTGTCCATACAGAGTAATATCTGTGGTTTCTAACCTAATACCTTTCTTCATGAAATGAGATGAACATGGTGGCTCGTTAATTCTATCTGTTTCTGATTCCAGTGTAACCGCACAGTGGTTGTAAGACACGCAGTGGATCCATGCCATCTAATGCTACAGAAAACATAGGTCAAATGGACTGTGAGTATAAGTATTCCGCTGCCTAGATGTCAGGCTTCAGGCAATCAGCTTCCTCCCCGCCATGGCAGTAGATAAGCAGAACAAGGAAAGGGAGTCTTCTTACCAGTTAGAAACTTTAATAATCACAGTGAGAGAACAAAGAAACCGTCTCCTAGAAATGGCGGTGCTCCCAGTTAAGAATTCCACCCCCTTACGTCCCTATTAATCCATGTCACCTCTCTGTCTTATAACCTGAGCTTGTACCCTTTGTGTTTTGTGTGCTTTCTGTTCTGCCACTTTCTCAGCTCTTCAAGACTGTGGGGAGAGCAGATGAATGCTTTCCAGAGAGAGTGAATATTTTAACGCCCCCCTCTCTCTCCCACTGTTTCTTCTCCTAGCTGTTCCCCATCCAGTATTTCCCAGCTTCTGCCTTCTGAACTATGTCCCTCTGCAAACCACTGTTCCAAATCTATATTGTCCTCCTGCTCCTGGGAAGATTCAGGATCTTGATCAGGAGCAGGGGGAGGGGGAGGCTCCCACCATTCCACCTCAGTGCAGCCCTCCTCAGCAGGGTCCCTCACACTGGATCAGACTTGCAGCTACTACTCCCCCCCCCCAGCACTTATCTCTTCAGTTCCTAGGGCCCCCCACCTGCTGCTTGAGTTTCTGGCACTACATTTGTTGGCAGCAGTGCAGGTGTACAAATCTCTCCAGAATCATCTTCTCAGCTGGCAATGTTTCACTTGGTTGCACTCCAGTTTTGCTTGCAGGCTTCCCAAAGTCATCCGGATGGCCACACTGAGAACAGGATGATCCTCTGGCCTGATCCAGTGGGGATTTTCTTTATGTTCCTTTGAAGGATTCTTGTGGAGTAGTTTGTGACCATGAAACCTTAAGCAGTGCTTGCTGCAGCAAAATGGTGGCAGTGCAGGTGGTCTCTGGGGCCACCTCTTTCACAGTGTCTTGTCCAGAGGAAGGAGCCTTCCTCAGAATGAGGTATGGGCAACCCACACAGCCTTGTAGGGGCTCTGTCAACCACTTTGCTACAGTGACAAAGTGGCACTGGGGCTCCTAGACTGCCAGTAGCCACAGTGTGGTGGTGGTGGTGGTTAGACAGCAGCCACCAAAATGGTGGTAGTTGGGTGGCAGAGCTAGACGTGTGAGCCAAAGCCTATGCAGCTGAGAAGAGGCCGTTCCCAGGTGACCAAGGAGGAGGAGAACTGATGGAGACCACAGAGGATATGCTGCAGCACCTTAAGGCATTTTGTTAGTGCTTTCTCCCATAAAAAGCAACCTCAATAGCATCCAGAGACTTCTTGCCTTCACTGTTATGAGGCCACCAGCTGAAGAATGATAATAGAATTCCTGTGGTCTGTAATTCCACCCTCCACCCACCGGAACTCTAGATAAACCCTGCTAAGGTTCAAGCACTACTACAACAACACACCCACAAGGAAATATCACTTCCTAGGATTCACAGATTATTATTACCACTTCATAAGGGACTTCTCTGCTCTGCCTCACTTCAAGTGATCTCCTGAAGGTTCCTCAACCGTTCCTGCAAAGAGATACTGCTTCTCTCTGACCCAGTGGCGTAGCGTGGGGGGTGCAGGGGGGGCCGGCCGCACCGGGCGCAACATCTGGGGTTAGGGCAAATCCACAGGTTAGGGGGCACAAATCCACGGGTTAGGGGGCGCAAATTACTTGCCTTGCCCCGGGTGCTGACAACCCACGCTACGCCACTGCTCTGACCTTTGTGCAATGTTGAGCATTGTTCAAAGTGTGTCACATAAACTGGGTGAGAACTTAACCATTGTCCATATTGAATCAGATCCAGCTATTCTTGTATATGTGGGAAATCTGATGCAAACAAAGAGCTTCACCCATCCACATGAATGATGGGGGATACGCCAACTGTGCCTCTTCAAAGTGCATCAGAACACCTATGGAGCTCTGGAATAGGAACACTATGCTTTAAGGGCCTTGCTTACTGTTGGTGAGCCTCCTTTACTGTTTGTTTCAAGCTAGCTGCACACTGCTAATCTCCTGATATTGCTGTGTATATGAACCCTACTCCATTAGCTTCCATTTGTTCCCTTCTAGAGACAAGCAGCAGTAGCTGTATTGCAGCCTAAATTGTTAATTTTTGCCCAGGGAAAATTAATCTTTGTGCCAATGATAACATTTAGCATATGCAGTTTAATTCAATAGACTATTTTTTATTATTAAATTCAGTTTGAGGTTGGGAATGATTGAAATTACCTCAAGGGTATATTTTGTATAAAAATAACATGAAGTCGAACTACTAAAATATCAGCCATGCTTGAGTGATATTAACCACATGAAAAAAAAATGCAGAGGGCATACAAATGAAACATGAAAACGAAGCATAAAACCACACATGCTTTTTCTTGCCTTTGAAAATGTATGCCCAGCTTTCCTAAGGTCTTATGTTACCCTTCTTAAAATGCCGTGGCATTAATGGAGACCAGGTTCACACCCCTAGAACTCTCCCAAGGTACGTACTTTCAGGAATGCTGCTACAGAATGGAGTAAAGCTGAACAATTAATGAATTTCCCCCAGAACTTTAAATTACTGAATTATTACTTTGTCTCATAGCACACAACTAGCTGTTTTATGGCCTACCGTTTGAAAATTGCTGGTACAAATTCTCAAACAGTATGCCATAGTCTGTCTCTTGTGTTCCATATATCATAGAATCATGCAGTTGTAGAACTGGAAGGGACCCGAGGATCACTTAGTCCAACCCCCTGCAAAGCAGGAATTTGCACCTGCGGCCTAACATTTGCACCAATTCAATATTTTCTTCTGATCATAATTGAAGGTGGTCATTGTGGGATATGAAACACAGGAGCAGTCAACTACAACATGCCTCGAGTGAGCATGTTTGCGCATGGGGAGGAATGTTTGTCCAGCCAGCAGGTAAACTTCCTGTTTCCTTCTGGGCTGGGACAGACTTCCTCTGCATGTGACTAAAGGTGGGTGTGGCCTCACCTGTGCAGGTAACAACAAAAGCACAGGGCAGGGCAGCCATCTCTCTCTCTTTCACCACATGCATCGAAGAAGCAATATCTGCTTAGCCAAAGATGCCCTCTTGGCTTCCAGCTAAGAGAGGCCAAAGGGACTGTCTTCTTATGGAATAGTTTCCAAGTGTATGTTACTTTTCTAAGCTAAGTCTGCCTTCTGGGATCTGACTGTGAACAGAATGTGAGTAAACTCCTTTTTATATACTTTTGTAGAAGACTGTGTCGTGTCTTATCTTTTATGAGGGAATAAGGGGAAAATACCAGAACAGTTATTATAGAGGCTTTAGCGAGCCTGAGCAAAACACATCCGTTGCAAATTTAAAAGAGGGGAATGTTTCTCTGCTGAAATTGTGGAACTTGTTAACACAAGTTGGATAAGGATATAATCAGACAATATATCCTCTCCTGCATCCCTGAACATTCCCACAGTCATTTCAATACCCCACACCTCAAAAAACAAAACAAAAACACACACACCAGCTGCTTAACTTCTATATATCATGGAGGCTGTCCTTTCCCTGGTGTCCCTTTGCAAGCTCCTGAATCTGCAGAGTGGTACAACTATCCACGGGAGATCAGAAATCAGGACTTCCTGTATTTCTATTTTTACAGTAAATAGAAGGCATGGAGCCTCCAAATCCAGTCAGGGCCAAGATGGGAAAGAGTGGGGTTAATGTCTCCCATATTGCTGATGGACATGCTGCTGCTGCTATTTTTATCATCTCACTGTGTATCAGGGTGACCCACAAGCTGCTATTTGCCTTATGAGGAAGTGATACAGGCATCTCTCTGTTTGTTTTACCTTTCAGTGCAAATAGCAGCATTTGGAGTGGGATTGATGGGCACAGGCAGAAGGATTAAAAGTCTCTCCTCCAGTGTACAGTCATACCTCATGTTACGTTTGCTTCATGATACGTTTTTTCAGGTTGTGTTTCGCGGCGACCCGGAAGTACCGGAAAGGGTTACTTCCAAGTTTCGCAAAATGACATCAAACGCATGCGCAGAAGCGGCGAATCAGAACCCGTGGGTGCACAGATGCACCACTGTGGGTTCGCAACCGGAGGTACCACTGTAATAACAACTGCCTCTCCAAAGTTGTTATTAAGCAAAACATGAGAGATTATGAGCATAGATCTTCCACATCATATATAAATGTGCTATTGACTTTTCCATCTGTGCACTGATCATGTCATCAGGTGGCTACCACAAAATTTCTTTCAGACCAAAGACCTCTTCGGACATTGCTGTCTATGCATTGGACTATATACAGGGAGAATGTAGAATTGTGTTTCTTGGCCACGATCCTGACATAACTCATCCTGTTGGTTTAGCCCTTGGAGACCTGCATGCTGAGCACAATGTCTGAAAATGGGAAGCCTCTGTGAATAAGGTTGCATTTGCAGAAATAATGCTCAACACATGGATGTTCAGGATGTGTGGCCAACGGAGTGTGTTATAGCAGGGGCAGGTGAAGTGGTATAGTCATGCTCCTACTCTATACATTTATCTCAGCACATGGATAGCTCCAGTCCTCTGAAGAAGGTTCAAGTCATATCATTTTCCAGGTTTGCTCTCAGACCTTCAGGGTTGGATGAATTTCTGGTGATTTGTATTAATAGGTAAGCTAATATGCAGTGATTCTAAATGTGACATGGTATTTTGCATTTAGTTGGCCTTCTGCTGGTGTTATTGAGTCAATGCAGATGCAAAGCTTGACTTTTTTGATCTTAAAACGAATACTGTGTGCCAAATGCTAGAAGACCTGTCACACACATATTATAATAACTTTTAAAAATAGTTCAGTGTTTAGTTAGATAAATGAAAGTAGTTCAAGAATTGTTAGACATTTTCTCTGAATTCATTCAGCTCTCACAAGCTACACAAACTATGTCTCTGTTCATGAAAGTGCCAAATTTGTCTAACTAGAATATGCAGATTAGTTGTGTAACTCTTGCTCATCTGTCTCCCACATGTTTCCAATGCTGAACAGATTGCTCTCAACAGTTTCTAGTGTGTACACATCATTCTGGAATATCTGCATGCACAGAGTCCCCTCTCAAAAATATACAAAGCAGACTACTAATTAGCTAACCAAGTCATATAGGACATAAGTCAAATAAATGTTCATTTCATTCTTTGCTGCTTCTGGTGACTGACGTTAACATATCTTCTTTAGAAGTCAGTGCTAAGACTTTGATTTAAGAATATGTTCAGCCTATTATCAGCGAGCATCAGTGTCCAAGAAACGGCCTTGACCACTGTAACATCTGTGACCACACTCATTAAAATTGTGGA